ATATGTGCGCCCATGTTCATAGCAGCACAATTTGTAATAGCTAAAACTTGGAAACAGCCCAATTGCCCATCAACTGGAGACTGGATAAAGAAAATATGGTGTTTTTTTTAATAAAATGCAGTTATACTAATTCTTAATTTTGCTGTCTCAAACTTTCCTTAAAACAAAAGGCATTGTGCTTCTCTCCCATCACCAACACATGCTTTTAGAAGTGCCAGCTGTGTCACATGACTTCTAAGAATAATTTCTCTCTGGGTCTCACTCTTTGTTCTATACTCTGAACCTCTCTAGTGATAGTAGATGCCTGTGATTTATCATTGTTTCATCTTGAATTCAAAATCCTGGACTTGGCCGATATAGTCTGATAGGTGAAAAAACAGTTTATTAAATAACATATGTGCAGATTTACAGAAGACAATCCCAGAATGTTCACATTCTTGTGGCCCCTAAAGGTGAGTTTCCTACAAAGCTCTGTACAGCCTCAAAGCATGAAATTCTGCTAGGGGAGCTCCTTTACTCCATGAGCTGGGCAAATCTCCTTTGTCTCCTGTGCATGTTCCACTCTTCTGCAGGACAGAACTCCCCTTAGCCTTGTGAAGAGATGGGCTTTCCTGTGCCCTCAAGGGCTCTCAGGGCTGGTAGGAAACCCACCCTTCCCATGAAGGCTACCTTGTACCCCTTTTCTCTTCTTCACAGATGGGACTTAAAAGATACTACAGAAAGATACAAGTTTAGAAGTTCCTCTCACATGTGCAGAAAAACTATTGCCAGAATATTTTCAAATTTAAACAGTCTGAAAAGCTTGTGATCTTTGCACTGTTTCCAAGCATAGCAACTCTAAAAGAGGATATTTCCCATCAGTGCCCCCACCCATGATTTCCGCCCATGACAGTTCTGCAAGCTGGTCCTTGGGGTTGGCATCCCACTCCAGGTTACCAGGTTTCTGCAATCTCTGTGAGAGCCCCCAGCAGCTTGTTGAACGTTGGGCGGCCTTGAGGGCTCTGGAAAAGGAAATTGCAAATGGTCAGCTCTGCTTTCAGCTCATTCAGATGCCAGCTGTGGAACCAGCTGGGCTAGCAGGGACTTGGGTCCAGGCTGATTCTCCACAAAAGAAGAGAAAGACGTCTTGTCTGACAAACAGTCAGTGAGACATGAGTGTGAAAATGTAATAGTAAAGAGCACTGCAAAAATAAAAATAAAATAGAACTGGCCACATGTGGCTATTGAAATTTAAATGTATTAAAACTAGGGGCTGGAGATTTAGCTCAGGGGTTCCACTGTCTGCCTCGAAAGCCAAGGTCCCAAGTCTGATCCCTGGTACCAAAAAAAACCCAGTACATGTATTAAAACTAAATGTTTCAATTCAATTCTTTAGTCACACTAGCCACTTTTCATGTTCTCAAAAGCTAGATGAGCTACCTTATTGAACAGCACAGATTACAAACAGTTCCATGGTTGCAGAAAGTTCTATCTTCCCAGAGATCTATTTGAGAGATTTGACATGTGAGATCCTGTTCCCTCCTCTCTGTCTTTCAAGATTCCTTGTGAAGCATCAATAAAAAGTGCAGAGCAGAAGATGATATAAGCCCGTGTGAAGGTCCTCCTTAAGACTCCAAGACTGAATTGTAGAGATTTTTAAGGAGGCTGAAGTTCTTCAGGTAGAAGTTACAAGATGTACCTATCAATGGGAACATAACCACTTTCATTCCAGTCTAGAGACAACTAAGCACTTGGCAAAAAGTCACAGGCAAATCAACTTTTACAAAGAAATAAATCAACATAACCAAAAGAGTGTTTTAATCAAGTGCAACTTGAAACTAAGATCATTTGCTTGGTCCTGTAAAAGTCCTATTTATGCCTTCCCCTTCTCTGTCTCCTATCCACAGATGTATAAAAGCTCAGTATCAGTGAGCATGTGCAGTATATTGCTTCATAAACAATAATATAGAGTTGCTCCTCTACTTAAGCCTCTCAACTTTTGCAAAAGAGGAGGGAACCAAAAGGTGGAGGTGAAGGAGGGGAGGGGGAAGTGATGAAAAAAGAATGAAGATGCGTAATGCACATGTACCAACTCCCCACAATGAATATAATCACTATGCCCTGCAAACACGGACTAATAAAAAAATATCAACTTTCCCCCCAAAATGTATTTGGTACACCTAACCTACCAACCATCACAGCTTATCAGCACAGTATTCCTAGAGTTGGTTGTTTCTCCCTGTGATCACGTGGCAGACTGGGAACTGTGGCTAACTGCCTCCACCCAGCATCCCAGGAGAGAATCATAACTCCTAGTGCTAGCCAAGGAAAAGATCAAAGTTCAAAATATGCTTTCTACTGAATATGTATCATTTTCATACCACTGTAAAGTTGAAAAATTGCAAACCAAACCATCATAGCTACCATGTGTACACTCCTGAACTATCTATGTTACTGCAGAGACATTCTTAAGACAGCTGTTGCTACTACCAGCTTACTTAACCTTTTTCTATGTCTTTCAAGATTCCTTGTGGAGAAATTGATCATATGTAAAATATGTTCCTACACTGGGAATCTTTATAAATTTAATGATAGTCTGGAACATGAATGATCAGATCACTCTTGAAATGTTGACTTTTCTAGTGTTTTTGAATTGCAGATCAAATGATTTTTTTTTCCTTTCAGGGGAGAGAAAACTCCTTATCAGTGTGATTTTTTTCTAAACTGCGACTGTCAGTTGCAAAGAAAACAGAGCACCCAAAATCTCAGAGGAGTCTGAAAAGAGAAGTATTTGGAGTGAGTGCCCAGAAAAAAAGCAGAAATGGGACAGAAACCCCTCAGGCTTTATTTTTAAAGGTTGCATTTCATCAAAGAAGAAACTGGGCTCCTGAGAGATGATTTCCTGAATGGTGCCTGCTGGCACACATCCCACCTTCATTTCTATTCTGGTTTAATCTATCAGGAGACTTAAATGCCACAGAGAGATGAAACCCATTATTTTAGCCTTGAAAAGCAAGGCAAATGAAAGTGGAATGAAACAAATAAAAACACCATCCTTTTTCAATGTGCAAGTTCAACGAATCTGTTTCTGCCCTTAGTTCTACTGACCAGTTCTTAAAGGTAATAAAACATCTAATCGCTGAGGCTTTAAAGAGTTTCTGCAAGAACCAATCTCAGATAAGACTTGGAAAACTCAGCTGAAAGCCTATTGTTAAAAACAAAATGGATTCATGACTTTGTAGTGGGAGTTACAAATAGAAACAGTGCTTCTGGTTCTCAGGATCATGAGCAAGAAACGGACACACCTTTCCCTGCTGGAGTCCTGGGTAGTATTAGTGACAATCAGGTCTGCTCTCAGAAGCTGGGACTGCCACCTGGGGGAGAAAGGGTCACTTACTTCATGCCAGCAGCTGTACATAGCTTCATAGACGCACATGGGTGCCAAGAGAGGGCGATACAGCCGGAAACCTTTAGAAATGGCTTCCACGACTTGCAAATTTGACTTGTTTTCAAAAGGCATTTTTCCTTCTGTAAAAACCTCCCACATTAAAACTCCTGCAAACAAAATGCACGAAAACAAGGGGTTGGAGAGAAATGCTCACCCAGAACTGAAAGAACTGTTTGCTGCACATTATAAAGCATTATTTTTCTCCATGTAATCATCTGGAAGGAGAACAGTTCTAGCCAGGAAGCACACTGCGCACACCTGAGACTCTGAAGAGGCTTCTAACTTGAAAATAAGCCCAGCAACAAAAACGCCTTAGTTTTTTGGTAGGTTTTGAAGGCTTTCTTGCTGGACGAAAATGCTGGCAGCATTTTTATTTCTAAGTACTTCTCAGGTACCCATACCCTGAAATCAATGAACCTTTTGCCATTGCACAGAAAATGACAGATTTGTGTGAGCCTCTGTTGCTGCTAAAACCAAGTTTCCCAGCCAGTAGATAGCACCTGTCAACCTCTTTCCACGAAAGGATCAGACTAAAGAACAGAGCCCCAGACTATCTGGCAGGGACTCTGTATAGAGTATTCAATAAGTGACTGGTTGATTGATTAGTGTAGCTCCTTTAAGAATTCCCAGATTGAGTTCATTTAACTATTCACCTATTCTACAAATATGTACTAGGTATTGGTGAGAGGCTGGGCCTATGCTAGGACCAGAGGATTCCATAGAAATGTGGCCAGTCCATCCACTCAAGAAGCTGACTGTCCAGGTAGGAAGAGAGACAAGTGAAACTCGGAGCCCTATTCATTCTGTAACCACCTAATGAGGTCCTTGCATTGCTATCAATACGTCTTTAAGATGTGGCCTCACAACTTCTACTCGAGACTGCCATATGTGAGTAGAGGGCTAATGAGATGAACAACACAAGCTTAACTTTATTGTGGACAATAAAATTCACACCCTCTGAGGGCCAGAAGTCTCTCCAAACTGAGAGCCACCCAGGAAAGTTTGGATAAAAGAGAATATATAGAGATTTTTGCACATTTATTGCACATTTATTTGAAAATCAACTCAAACTGCATTGGACATGTGTCTACAGTGTCTTTTTCTCAATGAAGAACATGACTCAATGTAAATATCAATAAACAGATCCTAAGGAAGCCTATATTTACATCTCATGAAACTTAAAGATAATAAGGTAAATGAGGTGGTGCCATTTTTTAAAATCTAGGCCTTACATTTGGGTTGTCCATTGAACAGTTGAAAATAGTCAAGCTGCTTAGTTAGACAATGAACTTTATTAAACACACTTGAAATTCAGTAATGGCCTTAAGATCATTTTCTGTCAAGTCAGTAGTGTAGAGAAATTGGCTGAATTTGTTTTCTAGGTCAATACACTCTTTGTTATAGTTTAATAGGAAGTGCTAATTGAGGAAGGAAAAGATTCAAAGACAGACTTATGTAAGAAGCTGTGTGACACCAGTTGCCAAAAACAGTCTGGATGTGGCTAGAAAACATAAGAAAGCACAGATACAAGAAGACATTCAAAATGCTATATATATTAAGAAATCAAAGTTACACAGAAAAGATTATACATCACATTAAATCAAGCTCCATCAAGTGAACATTAAATGTACTTACCAAATGACCAGACATCAGATTTACTGCTGTATTTGTTGAAATGAAAAACTTCAGGAGGGGACCATTTGATTGGGAACTTGGCTCCAGAAGAACTGATATATTCATCATCCAAGACATACCTACAGTCATCAGATTCGAAGCACATTGTGTTAATTACCTGTGAGTGGGGCCAAGGATTTAGCTCAGTGGTTCCACCACCTGCCTCCCAAGCTCAAGGACCCGAGTTCGATCTCCGGTACCAAAACAAAAAGTCACTTTATTGGCCCAGGGATTTGGCTCAGCGGTTTCACCGCCTGCTGTGCAAGTGCAAGGACCTGAGTTCAATCCCTGGTACCAAAAAAAAACAAAACCTGTAAGTCTTATTTACTTCAAATCCTTTTGGTTAACTATGAGTTGCTAAAAGACAATATTTTACCCTAGAAAGGTTCTGTACACTTTCTCTTCTCATTGGCAAATTGTGAAATTATCCCATATAGTGTTTCCTCCCAAACCAAGTCTCCTTGTATTTAATTTTATTGGGTCTCAGAAAACCATAACAATTCAGCAGGCCAAAATATGGTACATGGTTTATTTTCTTTATGATACATTCTTAACTCCACAAAGAAGCATGTTGTATGCTCTAACAACAACCAAGATAAAAGAGCACTCTTCTTACATTAGAAAAAAATGAATTCAAAGTTAGACGCTGTTGTGGCTTGCGTTTAGATGCCCCTCCCCCCCCCAAAGCCTCCTGCAGTCACAGAAAGGGGTTTTTCTGGAATTGATTCCTGGTGCAATGCTAGGCCCAAGGGCACTAGGATTAAGGGTGTGAGTGCTACCTCCCCTAAGTAGTCTGCCTAAGATGAAAGGGCCAGAAAGACTGTTGAGGGCCCCTCCCTTGCCCCCTTGCTTTTGGTACCATGTGGACACCATGAGCTGTTTCTGCTCTACGATGCCCCTCTGCCATGTGCCACTCACTGTCAAGGTCCCTTGTTGCTTTGCTACTTTCAGTCCACCATGAACTGTTGCCCTTCTGCCACTCTGCCTTGGAGCCAGCCAATTATGGCCTGAAACCTCTACAAACTGTGAGCTACTTAAACCCTTTACCCTTTAACCTTGGGTGGGGGATATTTTGTCTCAGCAATGAGAAAAGTTGAAAAGACAGATGAAAAGAGAAAAGACAAATAACATATTTTCTTTCATGAACATATTTAGGGGGGGATACAGAGGAGGACAAAATTATATTAGCAAAATACTCCTGGTGTGGAAAAACCTTTCATGCATTAAAATGGCCCTATATAAAAAAGAAATTAGAAATAACTACAATCTCCCTTTTTAAAAAACATTAAATCCTCTCTCTTTTTTGAGAATTGTGTGTAGGACTATCCAAGTGCTAGAATCTGGAGAGGACAGACAATAACTAACTGAGCTAGTTGCCCCTTGAATATACAATAGAGTATTCTTGAATTATTTATTAATGTTGTTACCACACTCCCACTTTTTTATCCATGTACTCTATCTTACTGCACCTTTATGCCTTCCTTTATTGAGTCAGAGGTCAATCTACTTCCTTGAAGGTAAAAAAAATAATAATAGAGAAGCTCAGCCAGTGCTAGCACCCAGAAGGAAGCTCCCTGCCTCCATCCCAGGCTCCTAGGGCAGTGAAGCTCAGCTGGTCCCAGCACCCAGAAGGAAGCTCCCTGCCTCCATCCCAGGCTCCTAGGGCAGAGAAGCTCAGCAGGTCCCAGCACCCCAAAGGAAGCTCCCCACCTCCGTCCCAGGCTCCTAGGGCAGAGAAGTTCAGCCAGTCCCAGCACCTAGAAGGAAGCTCCCCTGCTGCCATCCCAGGCTCCTAGGGCAGAGAAGGTGAGCCAGTCCAAGCACCAGGAAGGAAGCTCCCCTGCCTCCATCCTGAGTTCCTACGGCAGAGAAGCTGAGCCAGTCTGACAACCCAGAAGGAAGCGCCCCTGCTGCCATCCCAAGCTCCTAGGGCAGAGAAGGTGAGCAGCGTGGGCACCAGAAGCACCGTCCCCCTGTGGAAATGAGAAGACACACAAACAAGCCTCAGAAACAGAGTTCCAGATCACCTACAGCAACCCCAAAGGGAAATGAGATGGAACAATCTGATACTAAACCACCTGGACTCTCTGAACTGGCAACAAAAGACGATCTGGGAAAAATGAAATCAGAAATAATTACACAGATAACAGCAAAGATTTTGCTCATGGTGAAAGACATGATTAATAAATTTAGAGAGGACACAGATAAAAAAATAGAGGATCTGAGGAACACGATGGAATCCCAACATAGGAAACAAATGGAATCCATAAAACAGATACAAACAGATTTCCAAGAGATTAAAAACTCCAT